CAAGGTCCCTTCCGACCCTACTTCTATGATTCTATGAACCCTTCTTTCCCACCTGACCTCTTTTAACATCACTTGTCTTAACTCGGGTGTATGTTACAATGTTCTGCTGGCATAGCTGTATCAGCCAGAGATGTGAAAAAATTCCACTCTGTAGCTACAGGAACTACGTCACCAAAGCCTCACGTCAGGGGCAGGCAATTATTTTGGGCAGACGGCCGCTTACTGAGTTTTGGCAAGCCATCGAGGGCCACATGATAGGCAGCCAGGGGCAGATAAATAGTAATTTTCTAAATTTTTTAGGGGCCCTGCAGGCTGGATAGAATGGCTTGGCGGGCCACATCCGGACCCCAGGCCGCATTTTGCCCACCCCTGTGTTATACTGACAGAAGTGGGCTTCTGCCTTGAACACCGGGGCAGAGTAGCCTACCAAAAAGAAAAGCCAAGTTGTGCTTTCGTAATCAGCATCTACACAGACAAGCTTGAAAAAAACTTTGTTCTTCAGCATGAAGAAATCTCTTGCTTTTCTGCAGAACTGGAGATAGTGGATGATGGGTACTACCTCCTCAGCATCCCAGCTGTTGCAAGGACCTTAAGACCACAGCAATCTCTAAGAAGGGTTGCTTTACTTCTAAAAAAGCTTCAGTGATGACCACCTGCTTTTCTCTAGTAGCACCCATCGTGGCATTCTAATGAAAGCAAAATATGATTCTTTAATTATTGCTTTTCTGTCTGTCTGAGGAACTGGGTCACTTGGAGAGTTAACTCTTACATTTCTCAATAATTTGGGCAATGACTATCTTAAATGAATGATGGAAGGTGGGTGAGGCCTATGCCATAGAATACTTCAGACTTTCTTGAAGCATTTTTCCGTACTTCTCAAACCCACCCAAATACTCTGATGACAGAGGCCATCACTTACCTCCTGCATTTAAAGGCAATAAAGTCCATCTGAAGAGAAGTCTGCCTAGACTTCTTTTTACCTAGTTTCCAAGGTGTCTGGAGGAAGCAGCATTATTTTGAATGCAAAAGCATCAAATAAATTCATGGGAGAAAAAAAAAATTCTCTTAATGAAATCTCTGAAGGCTCTCCAGTCAACTTGTTAATATCTGTATATCAGTGGAAAGCATATCATCACATCTCAATTCAATCTTCGTATGGAAAACATGGGAGACAATCCATTATCAGTAAAGTGTACCACCATTTGGCCTTGTCACCTCACTCAGACTATTCAAAGAACTAGTGGTCCTGATAATTGCTCATATAAGTGAAAGGTCATGTATATTGTAAACAGACCCAATCAAGAAAGGAGCAAAACAAACTAGGAAAAGAATGTCTCTCTTAAAAGGCCACAGGTAAGGAGCAGTCTCAAGAAAATTTGTAGATCTTTTTGTTAAGGCAGAGATGTCAAAGATCCATTCCACGGGAGGTTTGTCATCCTGTGGCCTGGAAATTTGGTACTGGGGAAATGGCAGTACTGTTAACTGCCACAGGTCTCACAGCTGCTGCAGCCACTGCTTGTGTCCCTATTGCTCTGTGTTCCAGTTCCAGCTCATGGACCAGCTCCATACTGCAGATCTGGTCTGCAGGGAATTGTGCTATTCCTTAGGCCCACAGGGCCAAATGAGTTTGACAGCCCTATATTAGGACATTAGTTCAACAACAGCAATAGTCTCCAAACTCTGTCCATCTGGTCAACAGAATTCAAGCTTATGCCAGCCTAGCCCTCCTTTCCTGTCAATACATTCTAGGGTGTTTCAGTTCCATAGGCCCCTGCTTCGTGTTACGTATATTATGCAATTTACTGGTTAATCATGCAATAAATTTAGACCAGCCACATATACAAGTCAGACTGGCGCCAAGTGCAAAGTAATTATTACACAATTAATTAACTGGTTAATCACAGTGTAAATTTAGATCGCATATGCAAAGTAGTTATTTCACCATAAAAATGACTATTCATCTGTAAAAAGAGCCAACCAGCTACAAGTTAGTGCTTGAAAATGTGTAACAACTATATAGCTGGTTTCTGTCTTAGCTTTAATTTGTACATGTAGCAGGGCCCAGAGAACCCCTGAAAAGGTAGCATGTTATCTCATACACACAGCCATCGTTTAGCTTGGATAGACTCAACAGTCCACTGGGGCACAAAATACATAAAATCAGACCCGCTAACTGATGAGACATTACAAAAACATTGATTGACAGAAAACATCAAATACAAAATGTCTTGGTTAGTTCTTGGACAAAAGGAAGAACTTCTTTACAGTCCGAGCCCCCAAGACCTGGAACAGACTACCGCCAGTGGTGGTGCAAGCACTTACTCTGGATTCCTTTAAGAGTCAGTTGGACATTTATCTTGAGGGGATCCTGTGACCCCAGCTGGCTTCCTGCCCCTGGGGCAGAGGGCTGAACTCTGATCTTCCAAGGTCCCTTTCAGCCCTAATGTCTATGAAATCTTTGAAATCTACATATATGGAATTTGTATGCATAATACTACCATTGAGTCACCCTCAAGATCAAGTGTTAGAATGGCAAAAAGATACTTTGATCTTTCTTCAACAACATGACTTCTCATCAGTCTTCCAGAAAGCCAATTAAACTCTTCTTAAAAGAAACTTTCTTGGGATGCTATATTCTCGCACAGATTTTGCTGCTGTGAGATTCCCTCTGAGATTGCTTCCAAGGTTTTTTTCTGTCTCTTTCTGCAGACATTTTTTCCTGCCTACATTCAGTCCTCCCTGGAGCACTGGACCTTCCAACACATTTCCTAGCATAGCAACCCAACACACTCTTAATAGGGATGCCAGGAACTGGCATGCAGAATTCATCTAGTCAGTCAACTGGTCCAAAAACATCTGTTCCACTCCCACTCAGCTTGGACTATAAATTGGCTACAGCTAATTATTTACACACCTGGTCCTGCAAACCCTTCCCATGGAGGTGAAACTGTAGTTACCTATAGATCAGATGTTTTCAACCTTTTTTCATTTGTGGACCCCTAAAACATTTTGAATGGAGGTGCAGACACCTTTGAATTGTAAGTGTGGGCATTCACTACTTTTGACTGATCATAGTCATCTTTTGTAGACCCCTGAGACATAATCTGCATACCCCCAGGGGACTGCAAACCACAGGTTGAAAACCATTCCTATCATACAATGACCATGTTTTTTCTGAACAAGGGAATGACACCAATTTGGTTTTCCACAAGTTGTCTGCCTCACAGCCACCCTGTCTGCATTCTGTACTTGGGGCCTAGGAATTCTTTCCATGAGATCATACTATGGCTGGTGAAGTGTTGCCACACCCTAATATTTATCCAGTCTTTATTCTAGTTCTCTGAATACTCTGTACTCATCATTCTACCCTGCACAATGTCTGCAGGGCAGTTTGCATGCTTGATAGCAAAGGTGCTCAACCCTGGCCTGAGGGCCAGATATAGGCCCTGGCACTGGGTCATATGGCCTGTGGGGCTCCCCACTAGTACATAGGGTGCCTCCTATGTGTATGCACATGAGCATAGGGCCTGATCCTGGTGTGTGGGACTCACGGAGGTGGTATAGGGCCCTGATCCCAGCATGCAGGGCTGGGCGCTGCCCCTGGCACACAGGGCCAGGCACATGCACAGAACAAAGTAACAGCACAGGGGGCAGGTGGAGGTGGCACAGGGCCCCGATCCTGGCACATGGGGCTGTATGGGGGTGGCATGGGGCCCTAGGATGCTGTCCAGATGCATGGGACTGGCATGCCCAGTCTTGGTATGTGTGGGGTGGACCTGGCCCGTGAGCCAGCCCTGTCCCATTCCTTTGGCCTGCAGGGCCAAAACTTTGAGCACCACTGTTTTATAAGAACAGATATGGTGTAGCTTTATTTGTTTTCCACCCAACAGTTAAACAAAAAAAGCCTTGAAAGCATCACTAGCTAACTAGGAGTTTGTACTGAAGAAACTCAGAGCAAAAGGCTTATGTGGTCTGGTATCTGTCAAACCTATCAAGCCAAAAAAATTCCTACTTCACAGTGGAAAAATCCTTAACATCCTGTGAAGAAAACTGGAAGATTAACACATGATCATCTCTACTTACTTTTTTCAGAGGCCTCAAATTAAGCGTATGGTGGTGATGATGATGAATTGCCTGTTGTGAAAGTCCTATCCATAGAAACATGCTGTGTCTATTTGATTAGCTTGTATGCATGCATGTTTCTTTGTTACTAAATGTATATATATTAAGGCCTTCATCCCACAAACTGGCACAGAGTCCCAGTGAAATCAGTGATGCTTCATTCTGGTACAGCAGACTTACAGAAAAAGCCTTTGTGTATGCATAGATCCATTTTGTAAAGAGGGCACATAAGGTGTGACTTGCAAATATGCAAAGTGGGTAGTTTAAAGCAACTGAAAATTCATATCTAGTGCTTGAAACTATTTGGAACTTAAGGGGAAAAAATCATCCTAATACTGATCACCCCAATTTTCAGCTAAGTTTTTTTTTTCTTGCTCCAGTTTAGAGGAGAGCAGAATATCAGGCTTATAATGGAACCTTGATTATAATAACAGTGGCGAGAGATCCTCTTCCATTATAAGGACCTGCACACAAAAAAATGCTGTTTTGTTCAGCCATGAATTCTTGAGCTGTTGGAAATGGCTCTGAATGTTACACTGTTGCAGTTGTACAGGCTTGAACCTTCCAGAACTGGCTTTGTTCTTTACACGTTCCTATTTCATATTTCTAAAGCAATACATCGTTCATGCCTCTTCCAAACATTAGTTTCAGATTCAAAGTCCACGATCCATTATCTTGCAATCCATACCCTGGCCAGTAAAAATCAGGTGTGTATTTCTCCATTTTCATTTGCTACTAATTGTATATTTTAATTCTGTTACTAACAGAAATCCATTAGATTTTTTTTTTGCTCTTTCCCTAGTCTAAAATACATTTATATTTCTGTTGTCTTGGGGCCTGATTTAACCACATCCATGCATGTGGATAGCCCATATAAGGGATATTGTTAACATTGGCATTAGGAGGCAACTCCTTGAGTAAGGAACTTTAACCATTAAATCCCTTTCACTCTCAAATATTTATAATATACTACTAATTCTTTTGTACTTCCATTTAACTTTATTTTAGTTAAATAAGTGTCTTATCTATCCCATCACCTTTCCCTTTCAGGTTCTTTTTTATCTTTGTTGTTTTCTTTTCTACAGAAATTGTTTCTTCTGACCACTTAGTTACACCTAGACTATAATTCTCTACAGCTATTTACAGAACAAAAAGACACTTTCTTTCTCCTTAGGTCTTTTCATTCTCACTTTTGTTTCTGATTGGCTGTATTGTCTGCCTGTCTTTAATAATAGCCAGTTAATACTTTCTGATTCTAGGACAAGCTCCCAGAGAATTAGATGTCCCAATTGTCACTTCAGAGGTAAATGACAGACATTTAATCCAGTCACAGACCAAGGCAAGGGGGTAGAACTTGTTCACCACACCTTACTAATCATATAAGACTATCACCTTACAAAGCACTGGAACATTGCACATAATTCCATTTACTTTTCTAGGAAAAGCAATTTTTAGGAAAACTATGGCCTGTTGTATCTTAATTACATGTCCTATGGAATGGTTCAGCTTTTCTCCAAACTTAGTTCTACTCATTTCATTGCTGCATTGATTCTCAGTTTCCTAATGCCCCAACATTTTCATATTGAAATGTATTACCCTCTTTCTAAAGTTTTACATTAGCTGCCATGAAAATATTACAGACTACTTTTGTCTAATTAACATTATCAAAATATTCCTAAAATTAGTGAAGCAAATTCTGCTTTAGCCTTTGTTATTCTCAGTTTGAAAATATACCGTTAACGGTGACCATTGTCTGAATCTCTTTCTTGGTACCTGAACTAGTCTTCAAATAGACATTGCCATTAGTACCGCTGTCCTATAGTTCTGTCATAG